AAATCTGCCTCTTTGGGAGGCTGCTGGGGTAGGGGCGTTTCCACAGGACGGTCTATAAATACCCTCGGGTCTCGCGCCTGTGCCTCGGCTCAGGCCTGGATGGACAAACAAGTGACACATCCCTGTGCCCCCGGCCCCGGAGGAGCCCTGTCAATACCCTGTTAGGGGCCGCCGTCCTCCTGAGCTTGGACGTGTGCCCGGGCTCGGGGAGCCTGAAACGCCCGGTTCCCACCCGCCCCTCCCTGCTCCCACAGTGGAGGGGTCCTGCAGAGAGGCCGTGGGGGGCTGAGATGCAGGTCCTGGACTTGGGTTGGCCGGCAGCTGGCTCAGAGCCGGGAAGGGAGGTGGCCGCTTGCACGGGGCTGAGAAAGGCCCCCGGATAGAGTGTGCCCCCAGGCCCTGCCAGGATGCAGAGGGGTCCTGGCCAGTAGTCACCCCGTCAGCACCACCTTTTCCCTGAAGGTGTGCACGTGAACGCACACACCCACGCTCGCACACACTCACGCATGCACACACTCCGCACGCACCCTGACATGTACTTGGGCAGGAGGCACCGCCAGGGAGTAAGGCTGCCTCGGTCTGCATGGTCAGAGAGGTGGGGGCTTGGGGACTTCCGGCACATCTTGGCATGGCTCTGCGGGGGCCGAGGTGGCAGCCAGGTGCCACCTGACGGGAGGACGCAGCCTAGCGCACGCCGGGGCCTGCCAGGCTCAGTCCGTGCCCCTCGTGGAAGTGCCCCCCTCGCTGAGCATCCTCCCAAGCCTGACCGCGGCGCCTAACCACGGGCCATGTGCACTCTGCTGTGGCCTGGAGGCCACACAGGCCCCACCACACAGGCCTCATCTGGTCTCTCCAATGTGTGTCACTCTATCTGAACGAAATGCTCACACTTGCAGCCTGGCCTAGTGGCTCTCTCTTCAGCTTCACCCCCTTAGCCCAAAGCTGGGGCATCCGGGTGGGCGTAGAGCTGACAAGAGGCGAGATCTGCTAACGTCCAGCAGGCCGGCCAGGCTGCCCGCCCTCCCCCACCTTGCAGGGCCTGAGTGGGCAGCGTGAACGGTGGGCTCGGACCCGCCGGAGTGCGTGGTTCCTGGAGCTTGCTGATCCGCATGGCCTGAGGGGACTTCACGAAGCTGGCCTGCGTGCCCAGAAAGGCAGTGATTCCTACGCCTATGTGCAATTTTCCTGTTTCTCGGCTACTACTGGGTGTGCAGGCATGCGCCCCCTCCCACAGTGGGGCGTGCTGCAACGCTCCCCGAGGGCCGGACCATGCCTCCAGCTGCAAGGTCACGGCTCCAGCCTCACTTGCACCCAGCTGCTTCTTCCCAGCTCCTCCCAGAGGGAGTGGGTCCTGCCGCCTTGCAGGTGGCAGGCTGTTCACGCCACTGCTAAGATGCTCTCTCTCCAGAGCCTGCGGGGAGCCAGCCCAGCTGCCTGCCAAAGGCCTGGCTGGCCGGTCAGCATGGCCTCTTTGGGGCACATGTCCAACACTGTACAACCCCTACAATGGCAAGGACACCTTGACCCCAAGTCTCCAAGCTCCTAGAGTCACCCTAAGTTCTGGGCCACCCAGCCCAGGGTCAGGAGCCAGGCCCCTTGAGCCAGAACCTGGGCTCCGTGGTGTGGCCTTGAGCGTCTGGTCACATACTTCTCTGTCAGTTGGAGACAGAGCAGCCCTGCTCCCTAGGATTTTGTGAAGATGCCATGAGGTAACGTGTGGGAACGGTGACTCAGCTCGATGCTGGTGTGAACGGCGACTCAGTGCAATGAAGGTGTGAATGGTGACTCGGCTCAATGTTGGTGTGAATGTTGACTCAGCACAATTAGGGTGTGAAAGTGACTCAGCTCAATGCCGGTGTGAACGGTGCCTCAGCTCAATGCTGGTGTGAAGGGTGACTTGGCTCAATGTTAGTGTGAACAGTGACCCAGCTCAATGCTGGTGTGAACGGTGACCCAGCTCAATGCTGGTGTGAATGGTGACTCAGCTCAATGCTGGTGTGAACGGTGACCCGGCTCAATGTTAGTGTGAACAGTGACCCAGCTCAATGCTGGTGTGAACGGTGACCCAGCTCAATGCTGGTGTGAATGGTGACTCAGCTCAATGTTGGTGTGAATGGAGACCCGGCTCAATGCTGGTGTGAACGGTGACCTGGCTCATGTTGGTATGAATGGTGACTCAGCTCAATGTTGTGAATGGTGACCCAGCTCAATGCTGGTGTGAACGGTGACTCAGCACAATACTGGTGTGAACGATGACCCGGCTCAATATTGGTGTGAACGGTGACTCAGTGCAATGAAGGTGTGAATGGTGACTCGGCTCAATGTTGGTGTGAATGTTGACTTAGCATAATTAGGGTGTGAAAAGTGACTCAGCTCAATGCTGATGTGGACGGCGACTCAGCTCAATGCTGGTGTGAAGGGTGACCTGGCTCAATGTTGGTGTGAACAGTGACTCAGCTCAATGTTGGTGTGAACAGTGACCCAGAGCAAGGTTGGTGTAAAGGGTGACCTGGCTCGATGCTGCTGTGAATGGCGACTCAGCGCAATGCCGGTGTGAACGGCAACTCGGCCCTATCAAGTGTGAAACGCTTGCTCATTGCACTACTAGGCAGATAGGAACCTCCAGGGTCACACCCCTGGGCCCTGACCCTTTTTGACCTCTGACCCCTCTCCTGTTCCCCTGTCACTCACTACCCAAACACACCTGGCTTCAAGGCCTCTGTGCTGGAGCCGCATCCTGAGCCCCCTCGGCCGGTGCCCCCCGGTCATCCCCACTGCCGCCGGTCTCTGCATGAGCACCCGTCACCCACGGCAGTGACAGGAGCTGTGCCTCTCTGGCCAGCCTCCCAGCCCCGCCCTGCCCCGCCCCCCGGCTCATGTGCCTGCCACAGACGTCGCTCATGTTATATGGCTTGACATCCGGCTCGTCCAGCGTCCAGTAAGCTCCGTGAGGACAGGGCCCCATCATTCACAGCTGGGCCCCTGCCGCAGACTGTGCTGGCCCGGGTTCCCCAGAGGCTGCCGTGCACATGGAGAGTGGAAGTCAGCGAGCGCGTGTGGGACTGTCGTGCCTCCTGGAGCTCAGGGTGGGTGGGCGCGAGCGCAGGGGAGGGGTGCAGGGAGGGGCTGCTGGCTCCTTCCTCAGGACGTGGACCGGACCACTGGATGGTCCTTCCCACCGCCCGCCTCCTGCCGCCTCAGGGAGAGGCACAGGGGAGGCACCGAGGAGGGGGCGGGGACAGTGAGGACAGAGCGGGAGGAGAGGGCATGAGGGGCAAAGCAAAGCCGTGACAAGGCAGCCCCAGGACAGTCTCAGGGCCTGGGGCCCACGTGGCAGAGGTGTCGGCAGCCGCCACGAGCACTTTCCAAAGAAACAGGGGTCTTGCTGATGGGGACGGCCTGGGGATGTCATGGCTTGGCCTGACCCCCGAAGCGCCGCACGGCACGGTGGGAGGCGGCTGGGGGCCGACTTACATATGAAAGGTTTGACGGTGCTGTGGATGTGCTTGTGCTGCTTGAGGCCGGAGGATGTGGCGAAGGTCTTGCCGCAGTCGGGGCAGGCGTGCGCCCGCGCCCCGACGTGCTGGGACCGGATATGCCGCTGCAGGTTGCTGGGGTCCGTGAACACCTGGGACACAGATGCCGTTGGCCGGTGCCCGTCCGCTTCACCGTGGCCGCTGGCCGTGATGGGTCTCGCCGGCCACTCTGCCCCCTGCCTGAGCCTGTGCTGCAGTGGTGACCCCCTGGGGGGCCCCAGAGTCTGTTCCCTCAACGACAATTCCCAAGAGGACTGTGGCCACGAGGAGGCACGAGGTAGCGGCTCAGAGAGAAACTGTGCTCGTGTAGGCTCGGGCTCGGGGAGGGGGCCTGGCCCCTGCCGGCCTCCCCTGACACGGGCTGGGGGCAGGCGGCCGCCCCGGAGAGTCGGGGCCTGCCTCCCTCCGCCCGCCCCGCCCCGTGACGGGGCCCAGGCCTCTCGGGGACCTGCCCGTGTGTGGGAGGGCACGTTACCTTCACGCAGTTCTCACATTCGAAGCGCTTGCCGCTGTCGTGGGACATCTGGTGGCGAATGAGGTTGGACTTCCAGTTGAAGGCTTTGGGACACTGGTCACACTTGTACTCTCGCTCCTCCGTGTGGACGACCATGTGCTGCTCCAAGCTGTGCAGAGGGGACAGGGGTCACTGTCGGGCCTGTCTGCCGCCCGCTGCCTGGGGGGCAGGCCCTCAACCCCGTGTGGCCCGTTCTCAGCGGCAGTCACAGTGGCCAGCACTCCCTGCTCAGAGGTCAGGGCGCGTCCCGGCACGCGTCTGTCCACTGACCCTCTGGACAGGCCAGCGAGATGGAGGGGCAGAGGTGGCCTTCCGGAGTGAGCTCAGGCCCTTTCTGAGACCACCCAGGGCCCCTAGCTGCTCTTCGGGATGGTCTTAACCTTGAAGCTGACGTGGTCCCTGAGAGAGAAGGCGCCCACTGTCGTCGTGAACCGGGGCAGTCGGGCCCAGGAAGCCCAAGGCCACCCTCTGAGAGGCCTCAGGGTGCTCGCTGGCCACGCCGGGCTTGGACGAGGGGTCGGCTGGACGTGGGAGCGGGCTGACCTCCAGGGGGACGTGGAGCGGAGCGCCCAGCCGCTCGGTGACGGGCAGCGCTGACCCCCCTCCCTGGGGACGCCCCGCATCTCCTGCCCCAGATGCTCCGTTAATCTTCGCGAGTGGAGCAGTCAGACGCCGCGGCCCGTTAATTACGGGCCCAGCCAGCCATTTAGCTCAGAGCCGCTCGGCTCTCGCGCGCCCGGCAGATTGTACCCTTTTCCCTGTTATTAATTGTGATTTATGTGTTTATGTAAAGAAAACACGGACCCCCTCGAGCAGCGTGGCCGCCCGGGGCCTCGGCCGGGATTTGCCCAAACGCTGGCTGCTCAGGCACCTGTTCAGGGCGGAGGGTTCCTGCCCCCGGGGAGGCCGTGGTGGGGCCGG